ATTCTTCTGTGAGTCTTTCTTTATAAACTATATTTTTTATCAATTTGTGGGTCGAGATTTGGCCAAGTGATGGTCACTTCTGATTTGTTTAATATTTCGTTACTAGTTTTATATTCTCACAGAATGTTATATCTTGTTAGCAGCGCAAACAAAGTATTTAAGAAAAAATTGTTTCATTGTATGGTTGCAGAGAGTACTACTTTAGCGAGGAGAACTTGTTGCGGGACTTTTATCTTCGCCGGAAGATGGATAGCGAAGGCTACTTACCAATTAAACTTATTGCATCATTCCATCGAGTGTACAGATTGTCTACAAATATTGAAGTTGTGTGTGATGCTATAAGGAACTCGGATGTGCTTGAAGTGAATGATTACAAGGTACGAGTGAGGCCCTTCAGTTACTTTGGGATACGCACATAGTGCCAACTTCAGTTCGATGGTCAGTTAAAAAATTTGCGTACTGTGTGGTGTGGTGTGGTGAATCCTCAGTATATGATCTCTGCCATCTTATGTAGCTACATTCAACTGCCCTGTGGTGGGAGAGATTTGATTAAAAATGCAGATTAAAAAATGATTCTGATCGGAGGTGCATCCAGACACGAGAATTTGTTTTTCAGCGAGACAAGAAGCCTTTGAACTCTGATTTTCCATTTTGGATATCTGAATTACAAATTAATTCTGCAAGGGGATGTCTCAGGAGGTCTGGACTGGGTGGATAACGAGTCACCTGAATTGCAAATTTAATTGCACCTTTTAAAGATGAAATACAGGATGATCGGAAATGATTAGGAGGAGGATAACATTATTACTATACAGTACTTCTTGTAGTTATACAAAATAGTGTGTGGAATGTATCCACCTGTTATTCTGAGAGAACCCGTAAGTAATCACCGGTGTTCGTTTTAGTATTATCGAAGTTTTGGTAGAACTTCTCAATGTGAGAGATCATGTTCAGTGGATCTTGAGCTGTGTGAAGACGTAGACTTACATATGGCAAAGCTAATGAGCAAATTTTTTTTGCAACTTTCAATTGTAATCATACCGAAAAGTAAGATTCACATCAACATATCTTTGTTCTGAATTACAGGTTCGAACCAAGATAGACCCAACAAAGTGGCCAATAACCGAACCCGGCAAACAGTTCTTTAACGCAGGTCATCATCATCATCATCCTGGTGTCAGGTTCATAATGCCAGGTCAGGTACCCGTAGGTGTCCATCAATTTGCACACCCACGAAGTATACCCATTCATCAGATCCCCCCGCCACCTCTCAGAGCTAATTTCCATTCGTTCCTGCGTCCCTCAGCTCCTCCAGTGACACTTGACTTGGATGAACTTGAAAATGGCACAGATTTCCATCACATGGGTGAAAACTTAAATCCAGATGTTCCTGAATTTATCCCAGTAACTGTAAGGATCCAGGATGAAAGTGGGGATCATATTTCAACAGAGACTGAAGGTGAACAGTGGAACGAAGGCCTGGAGACTGGCCGTAAAGGTACGTAAACCTCCGTAAGATGTGAACACACACAGGCCCACACCTTTTATAAGATTATTATTTGTTCAGAAAATACAAATCAAACGTGTGCGCGCACGCGTGTGCAAAGAATGATGGATCGGCAAGCAGCCCTGGGAACCTGTGTCGGTTCTCTTTCTAAGCCAGGAAAAGACTCACCCAATTTAGTCCGAAAAAAAAAGGGCGGAGATGTTTAGCGTCCGACCAACAGGCCGAGACTGACTCACACTGATCCCCGTATAACGTAGCAAAACGGGGGGGAGACCAGGGCGCACCCTGACTGGAAAAAGGTAAGGTTAGAACAGGGTGATACAAAGGAAAGGTAGGAAGTACAGAGTGGGGCAAAGGTAATGTCACCCACCCCCAAAGGGGACATGGTGGCGAGTCTCAAGGTGGCTGTAGTCTGGATTTCTTCGCCACGTAGCCTGGTAGAAGTCTCATGATGGAGGCGGCAAGAACCTTCAAAACACCGATAACCTTGTACCAGACTACACAGCGCAGCACCCCAGAAGACAGCCATCTTCGTACTCAGCACCACCTCAGTTAAGGTTACATAATTTGTAACGTGAAATTTTTACTGTATGAGATCAGTGATCAATTTTAAATGTAATAATTATTTGTAGAAAATTCTGAAACGACGCTCGACTCCCGTGAAGATGAGAGAAGGGCAGATCTGAGCGGTTGTGAAGAACGACTTGAGGGCGAGGATGAAATGAAAGTGGCTGTCCAGAGGAACAGTTCCCAGTCTTATTTCAGTGCAAACCAAGAAGACGACAACGCTTGGAGAGAGGTGAGTGCTCGCGTGCGCGTTTTGTTGACGGGCGATATCACGGACTTCGTGAACGAGGCGGGGCAGGTCTTCACAGATGAATGTCCGGATTTCTGTACCTTGTGATGTTAGCAGGAAGACGACTGCTTGAAAATTTTCCGTTGTCGTGAGAATTGGCTACATTTTGACGATTGTTTTCAGTTTTATTTCTTTCAAAGATGATCCTCAGCGTGATAGTGTTGAGAGGGAAAGTGGCAGAAGTGTCTAACAGTGGCATTTATGTGATTACTGCATTTCAGGTAAAGCGGAGAGTAAAACCACCGCCGAAAGACAAACCTGAAGAAAAGAAAGAGCGAGAGCACTTCGAGGAAAGGGAGGAATTGGATTTTCAGTTTGATGAAGAATTGGATGGGCCTGTCCCATCAGGAAGGCATAACACTTTCACGGACTGGTGAGTTTGAAGTTTTCCCGAAAAGTGGTTGAAAGATTTTTTTATTGTTCCCGCAGACATTTCAGAGAATTTCCCTGCTTCCTGACGGTGGAGGCGTTGACTGGCAATTTTTCCACTTGTTAAATTTGTTTTGTTACGTTTGGATTTTACTGATCGTTAGGCTGCTACCGAAGTACAGTTCTTGAAATTGAGTTGATGTGCAGCCAGGTAAAGCGTTATGTGGCCGAGGTTTGACATTGACACAGCTTTATCTATGAGGTTAGATCCAAGAACTTGCAAGATGCCATCAATTATGTCATAAGTTACATATCCGGGTTGTGGGATTTGAGATGATCTAACCGATAACTTTGTCAACTAATGTGATAGGTACCAGTGGTGGCAAGACTTTCATTGATGAAGCATCTGTATTTTTCTCTCGTAAATGTGTTCTCAACCGAAGCTTTTGTGAGGCATTAGAACTTATTTTGAGCCCACTTTTAGATATCGTACGAGTTTTGTTAGGGGGTTTTCAGTGAAACAGTTGTATGTTAAACACAGTCAAACTCTGTTATAACGAGATCCAAGGGATAACTGTTACTTGTATCTGTTATTGTGGCTGAATTTTTCATACTGTTAGAGTTATAGTACGCTTGAGACTTGCAAGGAATGCAGGAAGTCCAAAGCGTTAAAGGCAGACGCTATCTTTCATCCTTCACCCCACTTCCTCACCCCACAAATCACAGGATTACAGTCTTACACTGTAGTTTGTCAGGTAGTTCCTCTCCCAACGTCATCCGAGAATTCATAACATTTGACAAGAGATAAAAGACAGACCTGAGAGGTTGAAGTAAGGAAGCAGCTTGGGATGTTTTATAGCAAGGAACTTGGGTGATTTACACAGGTTAGGTTGGGGACGGCAAGAAGTTGATGTAGAATTTTGCTGGGAAGAACTGCTTGAATAGCGGTCACTACACAAACCAACGATATGAGACGAGAGTCCAGATACGGTTCCTTTACTTTACTGCGTGAGAGTTTGCCTGTAATGTAAGGTTGTATGTACCTGAATCTTTATTAAGCATTGAAGAGACAAGACTGTCTTAAAACGGTGCAGTAAGGAATTTCGGTACATCTTCCAGCCTTTTTAACATTGGATGGTTTTCTGTTTGACTTGTACTTTAGGTCTGAGGATGAATCAGACTATGAACTCAGTGATCATGAGATCAACAAGCTCCTGATCGTCACACAGTCTACCTCGCAGTCGTCACGCTACCCAAAACACGAAGGGTACGACCGCACAGGTGACTGGACCACCAGAGTGAAGATAACACAGGATCTTGAACAGGTCATCAGCGATGGATTGAACTATTACGAGGACGGGCTCTGGACAGAGCAAGAGTGGGTAAGTTCTACGTGGGCAAAGTTCTTTATTTTTCTGACCATTACGTTGGCTAGGAATCCAGATTTTTTAGACAAAGAAGATTGCCGCTCCTGGGAACATTGATAGACACAGTGAGGGGTGATCTCTGAAAATTTGAACACTGTATGGGTTACATATTATTTAGTTTTAAGAAAAGTATGTAATGTAAAGATGGTGGCTGTTGCTGACAGTGGTACAGCAGGCTGCCTTGCTTTTGGATGTAGTAAGGCAGATGGATTGTGTTGACGTAGTAATATGTTTGTTGCGAGCAGCAGAGCTCTGGCAGCTACAAGACTGTGAATATCATAACGCAAGAAGATTTTGAGAAAATGACGCCACGCGCACCACGTAAACTCAACCCTGAAGTTCCTCCGCCTCCTCCACCCTCTCTGGCACAGTCGTTGTCAGCTGAGGAGTCGGTACCGGAGGTTGCACGAAGACCTGCACCATTGGAGGTGAGTGACGGTTTAGTGTCAGGTTTCTCACTAAATTATTCATTTTCCCTTGTCGGATTTTTACAGCACGTTTGAAAAAGTTTAGGGAATGAAAGCAGGCCTTGAAAAACAATACAGGTTTTGGATAACAGACTTCTCATCTGTGCTGCCAGTCATATTTTTCTCATCTCACGGGCCATGTAATTTTTGGTCTATATGAGGCCTTCTAAACCCTCCAGTACTCATTCTCTCAAGATTGCAGTTGCACGAAATTCAATGATCCATGTACCTGAAAGCTAAGTTATACATTAAACTCCATCTGCACAAACCTAGTGATAACAAAATAATATGAAACCGGCTTTGAATATTATATTTAAACGTACCTAAACAGTTTTTATTGATCCCCCCCCCCCCATACCCAGACATTCAGATTTCTCTTGTGTTAATGCCATTACATCAGAGATATACTTGCCTGGGAGAAAGTGTAAACTGCATTGGTACTGGCCCCCAAGTGTTTTGCATCTTGGGGGTTATCGAAATGTGCGACATTTACAATGTCAAACCCCAATACCATGCCCCCATATTTACCGTCGCCACGCAAATTAACCACGAAGGCCTGGGAACAGACATTTTCTGTGTAATTTTAAACGAAGTCTTCCAGTAAATTGCCACCCCCACCAGCCGCCACCTAACAGCGTGTGTGTGGCGATACAAATCTATGATTGAGCACCATAATCAAGTCTGATACAATGCCATGTCACTTAGTTTCTGCCGCTGCGTACGCAGATCCTCGAATGTGTAGTTGTAAAAACGCTGTGCATCGACACATTTTGTGTAAATTTTCAGGAATTCTGGCACAACTTTCACCTCCTCCCTATTTTTGCTGTTTGGCAGGTGTAGTGGACTGTTCCATAATGAAAGTGTTTTTTATTAAGATTGTCTCCGGCAATCAGCTGCATCGAAGAGACCGACATTTCGGGAACGATGCCCTGATGATGGAGGCAGAGAAGGTTCCCGAAACATTGGTCTCTTCATTTAACCATTTGTTATGGCTGATTGAACAAGATTTTATTTAGTTCAGTCACTGCAAAAGCTTCAGATCATTTATGAAAATATTTTGTAGACATAAAATAAATTATTCTTGGGCTGTCAGCTGTGTAGGGTGTCTGAATGAAGAAAACACCATTTCATCCTCAGGGTTCTGATGTTGGTTCTGTTCAGAATCCTGATGATGGCGATTATTCCCTAAATGTCAGTCTCACCCTGAGGACGAGGACGAAGATGGTTCTCAAAACGTTGGTGTTTTCTTTATTAAGCCACCGTACATGGACGATGGCCCGAGAAGAATTTATTATACTTGGTTGCCATGAAAGATTCAGATCATACACGGTTCGTTTACACTTTATTGAGTAACTAACGTATGGTACTCAAGTGTACTCCAGTTTGAGTACAGTTACTGGGCTTGTCGCAGGAAGGAAGTTATGTATGAATGCAGATTCAGGTACGTGTGGTGCAAGCCGCCAAAATGTCGCCTACAATTTTTCACTTTTGTGGTGTAAGCACATACGTTGATGCTGTGTTGGTGATATTGTAAGTGAAGAAAGTAATGAGGGGGGGATGTGGAAAGTTTTAAATGGTTGAAGGGTGCAGATAAAAGCAAACAATTGAATAGCAGCTGGTGGTGTTAAGGCATGAGTAGAACTGGGCAGGGTTGGGTATAAAATATCTTGTATAAAGCAGAGGGTTGACTTTCCGTAAGTCAATAATATGGACTGACCCGACAGAGAGAAATTGATTCCAGAAACAAATGTGGGAGTGGCGCGTGAAGATTGTTCGAGAAGATGATCATAAAGATGTGTACTGTTATGAGTATTGTTTTTTGCTGAATGCAACGTGATAGGACCATCGGAAATGGAACTGTAAAGAGATGCAAGAATACATTAATAAATAACAAGACACCCGAACATGAAGAATTTTAGTTTAACGTCATCACTTCTGTAATTCCAGAAGTTGGACAGTGGAGAAACTGTGGTGCTCTAATGAGGTTAGGCTGTGATGTAACAAAATTTGATGTACTAATATCTACAGAAGTGTATTAACAAACGCGCAGAATTAGCCGTCAGCTGAATCTTTCTTAACTTCTGTCTACTTGTACATACGCAGGTTCCCATATCAGAACCCCCTGCTTTCCAAGGCATAAGTGGGGCCTGGCCACATAAAGAGCGTCACCACCGACGAGCGTCACGTTTTTATGCTGTTACCAAAGATGGTTGCCCTCCAGACACGAGCACTCTTCGAAAGCGCAAAACAAGGCACACCAATAATCCACCAGTGGAAAGTCACGTTGGATGGATCATGGATGTCAGAGAGCACAGGACGCGTACGAACTCCAGGTAATGTTTGTTCATTAAGATCTAGAGAGAAAAGCAGTTCATGGATTCTGTTCGTAGTTCTTAAAATGGTCATACATTTCTTGCTTGTCATTTTGCAGTTCACGCTGACCCCAAATAAATCATTTCATATTCTTAATCACCCTTAATTCAGTTCACGGTTTGTACCCAGGGTAATATGAATCTCTTCGATTAAATGAGAAATTGTGTCAGCATTGATTTAGCTGTGAAAGCCGAACTGAAGGCACTAAAATATAAGCTACGATGAAATCAGTGGTGAATGAAAAGACGGTGAATTTTCATTAAAAGGTTAAAGATTTATTGCAGGCTTGTGATCTCTAGGACCGCAGGCCTTTCTTTTGAGATATCTAATTTTTAAAAAGCCATAATTATAATTTGACGACTGGTTTAATTATTAACCTTTATAGGTCGCGAGTTACACTTTTTTGTTTGGTAGTACGTAACTCTGAGTAGCTGAATGAGACATTTCTGTCCCATTGTGTCATGACGTTATTAAAAGCTTGGAAAATCAGACACTTCTGTGTTTGAAATGCTTCCGTGTTAATTTGTAATAGCATCGTCCACTTTAAGGAGTGTGTTTATTGTTCCTTCTTTGTTCTACAAACCAGGAATCAACGCAACCACACATTGCATTTTGATCATTTGAATTTTGTCCACATTTCATTGTTTTTTTTGCTGAACACACGGCACCAAACCCGTCTTCCTAATTTTCACTGCGTCATACATCAAGTTAGGTAGGTTGACTTGTGGAAGTGGTTGGTCTTCCGCGTGGGCTGTAATATTGTTACGTGTAATAAGTCCTAAATAAGCTGTAATTAAAATAACTGTAAAGCCCAATTACGAGTTGTGCAGGTCTGTGTTAGAGAAGCTAACGCAGTTCTGGCGCTCATCAAGAAACAGGAGAATGATTTGATAGTTGCTTTACAGAGTCTTATTATTGCACTGCACAAGCTAGAGCCTGTCGTTCTGCTTACATGAACCACAGGTGTAGAACTTGTGCCACAGAAGACTGATGGAGACGTTCGCATGAATGTAGACTGTGACGCTCTGTCATTTGCTATTTGTGGACGTCCTCCTACAGACAATTTCAGGTGAATAAAATACAGGACCTGTTAATTTTCGACGGAGAATATGTATTAAGTTCGACGTTAGTTGGAAATGTGTTAAGTTTTAGAGAATATTTTAATGACGTTGGATTTGTTGGGATTTTGTTGAGCAGCAGTAGTGCTGGGACGAGTCCCAGTGAGAGTTATCCGGTTGGCAGCTCTGGCAGCACGCCTCAGTCATTGCCAACCTTCCAGCATCCGTCTCACTCGCTACTGAAGGAAAACAACTTCAAGCAGGAAGTCTATAGCAAGTACTACTCCAGGTGTCTTAAAGGTATGGTCATTGTTTCGGTAAAGTGAAGTGAAGCTATTTTGCAAAACGTCATGTGGGATTTTTGGTAAAGTGAAGTGAAGTAAAGCTATTTTGCAAAACGTCATGTGGGAGCTTGGAGGGGAGAGGAGGTATAGGTCTTACCCGTTCTTAAATTCAGCACTAGATAGGGGTGAGTGGTCAGCATTAAGCTCCATTTAATGCCCAACTCAACCCCCTCTGCCCTGCTGTCTGATCAGGGTCTCGACTCCAAAGAACTTTGAGAGGGGAGATAAGCCATTTCGAGCCATGAGGCATGGCTCAGCGTCATGCCGCAGCCACACTTTGCCCCTGGGAAAAGACTCCATCCATTTCCCTTTTTAAAGGAGGCTGGGTGGACCCCAGAGCCAGCCTGGACGCAGAGGCTAGAGGAAAAATCCTCTGCCCCTGTCAGTGATCAAACCCTGGTCATCCAGACTAGGTTTCTGATTTATGGTTTTAGGTCCTGATACGCTTGTCGATAAAATTCTCTTCCTGATAGGACATACTTGTGAGTCCGTAGCTTAATCTGCTGCGTCTTACTGTTGCCGATTGAGGCAATAATTGGGTAGGAGGAGTCAGAGGAATTACACCTCCGTTAGTGCGAATGCGGGTGGGTCCGTGTAAAGTAACTTCAATTTTTCCATGCCAGATTGTTAGGAAAAAATACATTTCCTCATTGCGTTTGTATGTTTCAGTTGTACCATGGTTATCCAAAAGTGCGTGTCCCAGAATAAGATGCCCCCAATTTTTGTACCATTCTGTACTTTAAATTAAAGACTCGTGTTTTCAAGTAAGGGTTTATAACGGTTATGATGATATTCGTATTGGTTCTGGAATGTTGGCGTCTGTTGACGCCAGTCCACATGGCACCAGAACCCGAAGGAACATCATCATCACAGCTATGAAAACCTCAAATCTCGCATATGTAATGGATCTGTAGGAGAGGGTAAATAAATATTTGAAGGTGTTTAATGTTCAACCTGTATGTGCCATGAAAGTTGCGTTTCACGTCTGCCTGAAGAACAGACGAAACGTGGGTGACAAGAGTAACATTTCACGTATATGGATATGTAGTTGTATTTGACGATAAATCTAGACAGTAATAATGATTGGGTGAGCTCACGATACTAGCAGCTGGCGGGAGGTTTCTTGTCGCAGAGGGATATTTAGAGTAGAAGAGGGCAGTGTATGTGCAATGCGTGTTGCTTGTCACAGGATGGACTTGGTTATTGCTAATTACAGGTTTCTTAAGATTTTTGTTACCGTGTTTCAGAGCGCAAGAAGTTGGGGATTGGGCAGTCCCAGGAAATGAACACATTGTTCAGATTTTGGTCTTTCTTCCTGAGAGAGAATTACAATCGTAAAATGTACCAGGAATTCAAGACGTTGGCAGTGGAGGATGCCCGAGAAGGATACAGGTATTTTGGATCAAAAATATTTACGGAACGGGACATGAGCGTGCTCTGACGCACGTTCAGCCTCTCAGAATGTCCGTGTTGATACGAAAGCCAAGAGGTTTATCCACAAGACTACGCTGTAAATCTAGACTAGAGTCACTTCAGCGCATTTCACGACTTAATCCAGTTTAATATTATCCTTTCCACGAAATTTGCCATTCAAAATAATACACCGTGTGCAACAAATTTGAAACTGAAGTGATGTAAATTTACGGCTAGCATCAGAATTTCAGTCGTTATAATCTTGTGTTTGTCCGCAAGCGGATTTCTTCTACTTTCCGTTAATTTCAGTTCGTTACGCCGGATAAGACACCAATGTAACATGTTTCGAAGACGTGTGCGTCATTTCTATGGCAAAATGAGGCGCAGTAAACTCTATGCTTTATTTGAACAACCGTATTTGCTGTTAGAGAAGTGGATAGTGACGGAGAGTTGCGTTGATTTGAAGGTCCAGTGTGTTTAGAATCAGACTCTAGGCAAATAATATTTTCAAAAAAAAACATAGTTTGTTTGATATTGTAAATGCGTCATATTGTGATTCATCATTGGGTAAGTTCACATAATTTATTTTTACTAATTATTTTGTTTTCTATATTCTATTTTCAATTGTCATTGATAAAATTAAAACTTTACTTCACAGTCCTACACAAAAATATTGACGTCACCGCGAAGTACAAAATACAAACCTAATAGTGACCAGTGATAGTGCAACGAACGAAGAAATAATAAAAGACAAGAACATCATCAGAAAATGAAGACTATAAAACATAAAAAACAATAATAATCAGTAATTAGTGATAAGTTTATACTACATAATACCCGTTGATGGCTAAATTATAGCCGAAACTAGTCGTGTAAGTTCCTATGTAATCGAGTACTCGATTGGGGAACGTTAAATGATGTTTTAATCTTTTAACAATACAGTGAAACCTCGATGCATCGTTTTCCTTTTTGTTGGCGTGATATTTCACCGGAAGTTTTTTCATGTTTTTGAAACAACGCGGTTTTCGTGATTTTCCAACTACAATCGGAACCCGTTTGTCACTACCGTCACTGTTAACACACAGAAGAACAGTAATTCGGTGTTTTGCACGTATTCCCCCGTGGCAAGATTCACCTTTCAATGCCAGAGTCCTATCCGGGAGGGCGTTGTAGAAAAGTCCGGTCTCATCCGCATTATAAATGTCCCGCGGCTCATATCCCTCCAGCAGTGTTGGCAGTCTCTCGAGCCACAGCTCCGTTATTTCCACATCCACAGCAGCACTTTCGCCTTTCCTTTGTACTTGTAATAAAAGCATTTGTGAAGAAATTCACAGTGCACATGCCATTTGGCATCGCTGGAACGAAATATGAGTGCACCCTAATTAAAATCGTAAAATTTCTGACAATGAGCACCGCCATTCACTCCAACTATCACCCCTGCACCGCTGACCCTCATTCCAAAAGAATGTGCTGGTTGGGCGACATAACAGGTTACCGCTGTGTATTCCAAAAACATTGTGCGTCTTTCGGTATTAATTTATCTCAAACCCCAGCATTTTAAATTCTCAGAAACGATCATTGCGGGAAAATTGTGGGCCGGGACTAAGATTTTTGAACGATCGATGCGATAAAACGATAGTTCGAGGAACGATAGAAGCGGGAAAATGTAACATTATTTTATATGGGATGTATTCGGGACTGAACAAAACGGACGATGCATCCGGGAAAACGATAGTTCCGGGAACGATGGATAGAGGTTTCACTGTATTATAATTGTGATTGACGGCAAATTTTTAATATTTTAATAGTTTGTTTCTTAATGTAAGCCACTTATGGAAAATTGGTATGTTATCCCTTGAAAGGGCTGTTAATGAGAACTCCCTAATCCCAGAGCTTCAGCCACATGAAGCGTTACTTCACGTGCTCTTCGAGATATTTTAAGTTACTGATATGAAGCTGTTGGCGCTGGAACATCGACTTCAGAAAGCTCATGTTTATAAAATACTTTGCATTTTTGTATCTGCCTTGAAACGTAATGTACAGAATAAGATGTCGTTACTGTAAGAACATTTACTGCGTATTTGTTTGCAATTATGGAGACTGGAATTTCTGGTTTGTTCATGCTGGTATTTCTTATGAGGGGGGGGGTGTCTGTCGCTGTTTCAGGTACGGCCTGGAGTGTCTGTTCCGCTTCTATAGCTATGGTTTGGAGAAGAAGTTCCGCCCTGAAGTGTATCAGGATTTTCAAGCTGAAACCATTGCTGACTTCGAAAGCGGTAAGTAAAGGAAAGCGGGCAAATGAAGAAACATATGTGAGTTGTTTTAATTACGCTGCGTGCCTTTGTTAGTCATTTTAGAGTGAAACTACGCAAGACGACAGGACCATAGCTTGCTTAAGGAAGACAGCGTTACGGTTTATGTGTTTTGCGTAAGTTATTGAATCGCGCGTATTCAATTTGTGTTAATGATGGTATAGCGGCAAGTCATAAATTCTATTTCTTGCATGAAGTTATGAGTCGGGAAGCATTTTATCATTCCTATGAGTTTCTGGAGTCAGTTGCTAGTAAATTCTTTGGGGAATTAAAATATTTGGGAATGGCGGTAAGAATTCCGCTCGTGAGGACATTAAGATCAGGTACCGTTTTGGAATGCTGGGCAGTTGACATTGTCCTGTGTATTGTTTTTCATGAAGTTGTCCGGTTCTTTGCACAGGCTCGTTTTACTTGCGTGACACTGTTGTCATGCAAAGTTTGGTCATGTGCTACAGAAATAGGAGGATTCGCTAACGCCACTAGGCTGAAAGCCGAGGAGTGGAGTTTGATAGTAGACCTCCTGACATATTCAGTGTTGCAAAAATTGTTACTGTACCATGACAGGCTTATAATTTGCATTGCATTGTAACGTGTCATTTAATGCTGTCCACAATGCCATAAACATTCGATAATATGAGAAACAGCATTGATTTTTCATTCGACTGTAGTCTCTTGGCTTCACAGCTGCGGAGTCTTGTAACTTCTGAATTATTACTTTAGATGTTTTCATTTAAATTTAATTTAGCATAAATTCAAACTATTTTTAACTTCATACTTGGGCAGTGTGTTTAAGTATGCTTAAGTTGGGTATGTATTAGAATACTTATGTTCAGAATAAGTTGTGCAGGTCAGTCCAGTCTCGGTGATGACACACTGAAAGTTCACGTTCTCTTGCAGGACACGTCGGCCTCGGTAAATGGCCATACGACAACCATAATCATAGTTGGAAGTCATGCGGGACTGTATTGGAAGTATTGACGAGAATGTTTAAAGTCAGATCTGTTCTTGAAGCACGTAACTTATTTGCATAATGAACCATTTCATGACGTTTTAAGCCTACACAAGAAACTTCCACAAATGCACAGCATTCGTGCACTCAGATGTGTAAATTGATAATAAAGTAACAAGTTGTTAATAACAAAAAACATATTGCTAGTGTAATTGTAGAAGGCACTATGTACATTTCAGAGGATTCTGAGGAAAATAATATTTCCTTATATATCAAAGAATATAAAGGCCTAAACATTGGTGTGTGCTGAAAATAATTTAACATCTCGTATTACGCATGCCGTCTTCGGGGTGAATCAGATTGGCCCTAAAGATGGCAACTGGAATGTCTGCTGAAATGTTGGATAATTTTCTACATCTGATGCAACTTATCCCCAAAAGCCAGAATTTCACATTGGCATCCGGCTTTAGAAATGTCGAGGATGGCCGTTATTTGGCGGGTTGAAAACTTCCACCACGTTTTGGCAGTCCCGAGCTGATTGCGTTGTTTAAAGTACAGCCTTTATTGAAGGGGTGCTTAATTTATTTTTGTACATAAATATATTCCTAGTTGCCTCAGAGTAAAGAAATCAGACCATCATTCTGACTAACCAGATGGCTTAGGGAATTAACCAAAGCCCTCCACCATTCAGCACTTTTAATTACTGCGGTCATTGCGAGTAATGAACGGGACAGACTGTCATTTGTCTTCCTCCTCACTTTCATTGTTGGCATAAGACACTGGAAGAAAGCTATTTGCAGTTGCCTGAACTGTAAGCAGGGTGTACCATTCGCGTTGGCGTATTTGGGTACACTGGTATTACTTCGTCTTAACATGAACAGGATGTTACATGGTAGGATTTGACTGCGCAGAAGACATCACACCATTTACATCACGTTTCATAACCTGAAAAGACTTAAATATGCGTTCTTATTATGGATTTGGAGCCGGGACAGCTCAGTCAGTATAGTGACTAGCTACGGGCTGGACGACCGGGGTTCGATCCCCGACGGGGGCAGAGGATTTTTTTTCCTCTAGCCTCTGCGTCCAGACCGGCT